GAAAAGTTTCAGTAGATCAAGGTCAGGGCCAGCGCGTTCAAAAGATCCAGTAAAATCGAAAAAGTTTATGTAAAGGGGGAAACCACTGTCATAGATTGAAAGTCATGATCAATGAAAAAGAGCTGGTAGGTGTCAAAAGGCTGAGTTTTGAGTAGTCGATGTTAAGCAGTATCCATAAGGTCATTTCCTGTCGGTTGACGAATCATCATACCATAAATGAGTGTAAGATTTTCGGAACTGGTGGAGGGTGTTTATTGGCTGAAAGTCGTCACGTGATTTTAAATATCCTCGCCCATGCGACAACTCCGTAAATCTTCCCCGCCCACATGCAGGGGATTCACCGGAAATACAAAGTAAGGAGGACCGTGATCGCCAGCAGTGTCTGGTTATTCAGGGCTTGTCTGAATCCAATGCAGTCAGACCTGAAGACCGTGTCTCTGAGGACCTCGATTCTTTTAATGGTCTAATAATTCATTTACTCCAGGCAGACATGGAAATAAAGGTCCTGAAAGCATTTCGGACAGGAAAAAGGAGTGAAGACAGGACAGCAGCACTACCACCTCATCCTTTGAAAATTATGCTGGAGAACAAAGAGCAAATCAAGTTGATCCTCTCCAAAAAATCGTCCTCAGAAACACACACAAACGGGCTTTATTCAACCGGACTACTCACCAGTGGAACGACTGCAATGCCAGAAACTCGTCTTGGAGTTAAAATCGAGACTGAAGTGGGGCAAGCACAATCTGACTATCTTCAGGGAGAAAGTTGTTCGGAAAAATATGCCGTTTCAGTGGAACCAGCCAGTAATACTACGAACGGCGGCAACTACTCAGCTAACACAGACACCTTCGTGGAACCACCAGCTCAAGGCGACAGCATAAGTAAGCCCTTAACGTCCAGTGATATGACTGAAGCAACGGACATTAATTGAATCCATCAGGTAACGGAACAGCCCAGAGAAAATGACTTCCGAGATAACGCAGATTTTCTCAAAACAGTGGCAAATGCAACCGGAAATTCGGCTGGTGCAAAATTGAGGTGCTTGTACAAAAATGCTCAGAGCCTCATATCGAAACTAGACGAGTTGAAACTTTGCCTTGTCGATCTGTCTCTAGATGTTTTAGCAGTAACCGAAACCTGGCTGTCCGGAAATGCAAGCGATAGCAAAGTAGCCTTGCATGAATAGCAAATTTATCGGAGGGAGAGGGAACATCGTCTGGGTAGTGGTATAGTTGTGTATGTGCATGAGGGCCTGACAGTGTCGGAAAACAGCACCAAGTTTGCGTGTAGCACGGAAGCCATTTGGTTAATTATCAAGGCCACCGATTCCCCTAGTATCGATGTCCTCACTGTCTATCGACCACCGAGAACAGACCTAATCGCCGACGCTCAACTATTGGAGCACTTAGAGAAATTTTCCAGCCGACCTAACATCATGATCATGGGCGACTTCAACGCACCAGGAACAAACTGGAATACCCTCCAAGCGTCAGGTCCAAAATCGGCATTCGACTACCGTCTGCTAAACAAAACATTAAAGGCGTCTCCCACACAACATGTAATATTTCCTACGAGAACACGTGAAGGACAAAAGGCAAACTGTCTGCATCTGCTTTTACGAAAACACCAGACAGCATAGACGAGATCACCTCCAAGCGGACATGTACTGCTCCATTTCGCGCACTCCAGACCACAAAAGACGCAATTTTTGGCGGGGCAACTTCAGTCAGATGAGGACAGACTCATCCGGTTTCGAATGGAGCTCATTGTTGACGGGTAAGCCAACGATGACTGCGAGTTGTTCACAAATGTCCTTTTGCAGCTCATCAACAGCCACTGCCTACTGACTAGTGTAAGACTGAACAAACGCCCTGGGTGTCTAAATAGCAACCTTAAAAAAGAAATCATCAGGAAGCACAAATTGTGGAGAAAATACTGCGTCAATAGGCAAGTTCGATACTTCAAGGCCTACAAGTCACAGAGGAACAAACTGAGAAACCCGATCATAAAGACGCGGCAGGAATTCGAGAAGAACTTGCTACAAAAAGCAACGCAGAACAAAAAATTATTCTTCAGCTACCTCCGACGATGTACAGGGAACAGTCATCAACTCCTCTTAGTAAGGACAATTGATTGCGTTGACATTGCTAGTAGTAGAGATGAATCTGCGTATTTTTCACGGTTTTTCTAATCAGTCTACACAAACGAGGCAAGTGTCTTTCCTCCCTCCACAGAAGAACCGCTGACCTCATGCATTAGTGCTAAACTCTTCGCAGAAGGCATTGCACGAAGAGAATTAGAGGCATTGAACGAATCGAAGTCGCCAGAACCAGAC